CCATCTTCTCCTGCCTAGCATTTTATTGGCTTTCTTTTAACCATCAAAACACAAGGAGTCAGTATCACCAAGGAACAGTTTGCAGTGATTCCAAAATGTCTTAACCTCCATTGTGACTGATGGTTCTCCATCTTTTAAGGATGGCTCAGCTGATAGTTTTCTAAACCCGCTGCTTTTACAGACTGCCTACCTTGTCACTCATTTAATGATTTTCCCTTTGTTCTTGAGGGACAATTTTTATGACTTGCATTTCTAAGAATAAACATTATCTGCATACTTAAATTTTATCCTGCTTGTCTTCTGATTATTATAAAACTAATCCTAGCACTGATCCTTGGGGCTCTCTGCCACTTACACTCTTCCATTTAGAGAAGGGCTTGCTTATTCTTAACTTTATTTTATTTTTATTTTATTTTATAAGACAGGGTCTTGCTCTGTCACCAAGCCTGAAGTGCAGTGGTGCGAGCATGGCTCACTGCAGCCTCTACCTCCCGGCTCAAGTGATCCTCCTACCCCAGCCTCCTGAGTAGCTGGACTACAATGCAAGCCACCACACCCAGCCTATTCTTGTCTTTAATATCCATCCGCAAAGCTTCCCATTCATGAATAAACATTCCCTTTGATGCAATGGAAACTCAAGTTTTTAAACAGTTTTACATCTGAAATCCTGTTAAAAACTTTAAATGACAAATCACATCCATGAATATTTCCTTAAAATGCTTATAAAATCTTTGGTTTTCATCTCAGTGCATTATTTTTAGTGAAGCATTTCCTGATCCTTGTGATCAGTCAGCATCTTTATTGAATACCCTACTCTGCACCTCAAGAAGAGTTATAGATCCCTCCAGCTTGCCCACTGTGAATTAAAGCACTGATCAATGGAAATGCTCAGAGACGCTCTCCAAGAACATGCTGTGGGTGATACTCTGTGAAAATCCAACATGACAGATCATGCAAGTATAGTGGTAGAATTTGTTTTTACTAGAAAACTCCACTGCTCAGAATGACCATCTTCTAGTTGAGGTTGAGAGAGAAGTATCACTTCTCCTAATGTCTTTAGTACCTAATGCATTGGTAAATAAATGAATGCTGTCAATTAAATTACATTTTCCCCTCTCCACCTTGATATACATCATCAAACTGTCTAGCAGCACCCCAGGAGGATGGCGACCCCCTAACATTACTTTTCCTAGCAGCAGGGACTGAGACCCTTCATTATAGAACAGCCCTGTACCAGAAGCATCCTGAACCCTACTCCTCACCTTACTCGTGAGTGAGACGCCTCCTTTGCCCCAAAGCCATTTTTCTTGCCCATCTCCTTTCCTCCTAACAGGTTCCCCACTGACATTAGTTAGAATAGAAGAGTTTGAGTTATCACAATTCTGGCCAGCATTTAAAGGTGTAAAGAGATATGTGAATATGCCAAGTGTGGTGGCTCACGCCTGTAATCCCAGCACTTTAGCAGATCTAGGCAAGCACATGGCTTGAGCCCAGGAATTCAAGACCAGCTGGCAACATGGCGAGATCCCGTCTCTACAAAAAATACAAATATTAGCCGAGGGCAGTGGCATGCATCTGTAGTCCTGGATACTCGGGAGGATCGCCTGAGCCTAGGGAATTGAAGCTGCAGTAAGCCGTGATCGCACCACTGCTCTCCAGCTTGGGCAACAGAGTGAGACCCTGTCTCAAACTAACAAATACACGAATATATATTCATAACATATATGGATTTTATAAAATTTTATTAATGAATATATACATTTTCCTATATAAGATAGTCGAAGTTTATAAAATACTTGAAATGTAGCTTTCTGAAATATGTGAATATTATATATGCCCTTGAGCAGATCATTCTTGCTCAAAAGCCATGTTTGGCTCTTGAGAGAGAGTACTTGTGGAGGGATGCTCCCACAGAATTGAGGAAAGTCTTTGTTCTTGATTAGGAAACTTGCTTTGGAAGAGGAAAGAAAGGATACAGATCCATGTGAGTACAAGTCAGGAGAGGACAGGGTGAATATCGGAATGGGAACAGAGGAAGTTATCTGCAGTTTCTCAGGTCATTCTGAGATGTTCTTCCACGCCCAGCTGAGAATCTCTAGTCCACAGGCTAAGAAGCTCTGCTGCCTATACAGCTACTGCCTTACTCTCCTATACCCCAGAAGACATTTTGTGTTTGTTCATAGCCCTAGAGGAGCTGTCTCTTCGTAGATTATTCCCCTTTTTTTTAAATAAGGAGTTTTTGGTAATTTTAGTGTTTGACCCCGTCTTTTTCCTCCAAATCTTGAGTTCATCATTGCTCTTAGTTTGGCCTAAAGGAAAAGTAACATTCCCAAGCCCCTGTTGTTCACACAGGAAGAGATGTATCCCTTTTAATTCAAAAGTTACTTAAGATAATTAATAAATATCAAGAAAAAAATAAGTTTCTGGCTTTTATAAGCTGTGTGGACTACAGATTCCTGCCAAGGTCCCAGCTTCTCCCTGTACACATTTTGGATTGGAGCAAAGTGTGCAATCTTCAAAAGTCTTACATCAGCCTTCAACCTTCAGAAGGTAGCTGAAGACAGGGAATTCAAAAGCTGGTGCTCTTATCCTGAGAGGACACATGAATCCACGGATCCATAATCCCTAATCCCAGTACTTCAGTTTCAGTTTTATAGTGTCTACCAGTCCCGATGTCCCCTGAACATTTCATGATTTGTCATCCAGTGCATGTGGCACAATTATTCGTCTAATTGCCAACCATGAGAATGGGCGGCGGTGGGAGGGGAAAATGAAATCTGATTCTGGCTCAGGCCCAAGGTTAGCGATTGCCATTATGACTTGATAGCACACGCAGGCCTGGAAGGTGACAGGTTCAGGTTGCCAAGGAAAGGGGGCTTTGGAGATACTTTCCTGTTCTTTATCCTTTGCCAGAACTTCTATGTGAATTCTCTCTGGATTAAGAACCAAAATTGTTTCCCTGGTTACAGAAAGGTTATTGGTGATAGGCAAGAACAGGAAGAGGGGTGTAGCAGCCCAGACACTTAGAACAGCAGGTGTTAGGCATGTGTGTGCTCATGGGACTGGGAGGGGTGGTATGCATGTGCACGTGTGTCTGACTCTACTCTTATGCAGACTTATGCCTAGTGGCCTCGCCTTCCCTTCTTGGTAAAATAGCAGAAAAGCATCATCATACTGTATGATCTTTCTCTATAAAATTTTAGGTTATTTTACAAATAATATTTTCAGTGTATTCTGCAGTGCCTTGTGAGGCACTTAGGACAGCCATCTTTATTTTTTCCATAAAAAAGAAGGTTTAATAATTTTAAAAATATATAAATATTCAAATCAGAAATGCTTTAAAATGTAGTCAACAAAATCAATACTTCTCACTCAGTAAAGAAAGTGAACTGTTTTGGCCGAATGTGGTGGCTCATGCCTGTAATCCCAGCACTTTGGGAGGCCAGGCCAAATCACTGGGCAGATCACTGAGGCCAGGAGTTTGAGGCCATCCTGACCAACAAAGAAACCCTGTATTTGCTAAAAATACAAAAATTAGCCAGGTGTGGTGGTGTGCACTTGTAGTCCCAGCTATTCGGGAGGCTGAGGCACAAGAACCACTTTAACCCAGGAGGTGGAGTTTGCAGTGAGCTGAAATTGCATCACTGCACTCCAGCCTGGGCAACAGAGTGAGACCCTCTCTCAAAAAAGAAAAAAGAAAGCAAACTATTTCTTCAATAGAGTGAAAAAAGCACAGTATTTTTAAAAAAAGCAATGGAAAGGTTGTTAGCATTGTTTTACAATTTGAGAAGATAAACTGACCTGCTAATAATGTCCAAGCAGTTGGCATTACTAAGACTACAGGTAATTTGTTGAGCATTGAACAAGTTATGAAGCTTGCACGTATATGTGTACTGCTGCAATCAAATAAAATGGTAAAATTAATTTAGCACTCATTTGACACATGGGCATTATTTGGCTACATTGTAAAGCATAATAATAAGCATATAACATAAGGGGCTGCCAGTCTGGTTGGAGAGCGTGACAATCTAATACAGAGTGTAGAAGATTAAGTATTTGGGGCCAAGTAAGTATATCTCAAAAATAAATCCAAGATATATAGCATGGATTCATAAGGATCCAGATGAGGTCAGAGATTTAAGGGGCAAAGATAAGAAGATTGATCTTCAAAAATTTGTGTACGAAATTATGCAAGTGCTTTAGGAGGCTGGAGATATCTAGGAAGTGTGCAAAATGGCTTAATGAGAAAAACGCAAGACCAGAGTTTAAGAGATCGTGCATTTAGCCTCAGCTGTCCCTCAGTAGTTGTGTGACTTTGTGCAAATCATTTACTCTTTCTTCCAAATTGTAATCCCATCATCTTTATCAGACGTATGTAAAAATGCCTGCAGCTGAAATCGTTAAATGTGTAGAACTGCTGCTGCTGATTTGTTTCTATTAATGATGATCTGTTGTAATTGGTAAATTGTTTTATTTGATAACTTTTGTAACAAAAGAACAGATTTAAAGTTTTTTTGTGGTTGTTTAGAGACAGGATCTTACTCCACAGCCCCGACTGTAATGCCATGGCGTCATCATAGCTCACTGACACCTCAAACTCTTAAGCTCGGGTGATCCTCCCACCTCAGCTGTCAGAGTAGCTGGGACTACTGGTGTGTGCCACCACACAGCTAGTTTTTTTTAATCTTTTGTAGAGATGGGGTCTTGCTATGTTTCCCAGACTGATCTTGAACTCCTGACTTTGAGCAGTCCTCCCATCTCAGCCTCCCAAAGCTCTAAGATTACAGGCATGAGCCACTGTGCCTGACCTAGATTTTTTAAAGTAAGAATTTAAAATATGCTACAATTTATTACTTTTATTAGTAATGATGTGACTCATCAGTCTGATTTTTTAAATTGTAGATTTATAAAATTATTATATAACACTTTGGTTTTCCTAATAATGTGTTTTCCAGTATGAAGACTAATTTATTTCTATTTTTATTTTTCAAATTGCTTAGCACTCCCGACTTGGAAAAACAACCAAATGAAAATGGAGTATCTGTTCAGAATGAAAATTTTGAAGAAATTATAAACTTACCCATTGGATCTAAACCATCCAGATTAGATGTCACCAATAGTGAGAGCCCAGAAATTCCTTTGAATCCGATTTTGGCCTTTGATGATGAAGGGACACTTGGGCCCCTGCCTCAGGTAGATGGTGTCCAAACACAACAGACTGCAGGTAAGCTTGCCTCCAACTCCCTTCTATAGCCATCTGAAATATCTGACACCAGGAGGACACGGACTGCTGCCTTCTACAGTGTGATTGTGGTAACACTTTGTTCTTCAAAGGATCAAGTAAGACACAGTGGAAAAGATTGTGCCTGGCTCATAGAGATTAAATTTTGAGTTGGATTGGACAACTTCTAAGGCCTCTCCTATTCTCTCAGTCACTGCAGAAATCCAGTTGGCAGCACCCACTGGGTGTCTGTCAGCCTCCCTGCACAGAGCAGCATCCACTGCCCAACATCACACATGGTCAGAATGTGCTTTGTAGAAAGACAAGGCTGCCTCCCCATAACCTGTGGACCATCTGGCCTAGTGCTGCCCACTGGAGAAAGATTTGAGTTTTTTCCGTCTTTCTCAGGTCTTCATATATTTGAAGACTGCCATCATGTTCTCCCACCATTTTTCTCTTATTTGGGTTGGCAACCTGGATAATAAATTACTGTCCTTTTAAAATGTGACATGATGGATACTTATGATTTAGGTGATGAAACTAGTTCTCTGAATGGGATCACACTGAGTCTAAGGATCTTTCCTTGTTAAATGATTTTGTTGCTGTTGAAACTGCCTGTGACTTTATATCTTATACAATGTCTCCTTGACCCACACTCAACCTGAAGTCTTTGTGCAAAAAGAACAGTTAGGACCCAAAGAAATAAGGAGTAATATCAAATATTACTAACTCAATGGTCATAGCAGCTCAGCAACTCAATCCCATCAGTCTCGGGAATTTGCAGGATAATCTCAGCTCCCTGCCTCTTCAAACCTGTTTCAGTTTTGTTGACTTCTCTTCCCTGCAGATGACTTTCACGTATTGACCAGCATCTCTTTGTACTTGCTATGAAAAGAACTGGCCAAATTCAGGATATGCACATGAAGACAGTGTAGAATTATTTGTGGGCAAATTGTTTTGCCTTTTAGATTTCATCAGTGAATCTGTAATAAATCAACTTTTAATGGGGTGAAATAGCCAGTGTGAACCACCCATCCAAAGGAAGCCAGCATTCTCTTCTCTTCTAGTGTACTGACCTTGGAAGTAGAATTTCACTTTAGTAAATGAACTCCACTTTTCTAGGATTTGAAAGGAGGCTGTCTGACTTTCTGATTCTTTTGCTTTTGGGAACAGTCCAACTAATGATACGTTGGTGGAAACATGCCCAGTGCAGCTTCCTGCTTATGTTACAGATTTACAGGAAGGGAAAGAACTTCCAGATGATTTATCAACATTTATTAAACCTCCAACATGTTTAGAACCCTAAGCATTGGGTACTGAGGATACAAGAGAAAACGAATGTTTAAACCCCTAACCGAGAAAAGTACCATCTGTGTATGCCACTTGGAAAAATGAAGGCTATGGCCTAAGCTGATGTAGAGAAGAGAACATGTTTCCTATGAGTAACAGAATTCACCTAAATATAAGACTGTGAATCCTAACAAAATTGCCTATTCTTATATAAGTGTATATAACAGTATAGTAAATTTCTAAAACTTAAGATATTACTATAGTATTCTTGAAATAAGATTTTAGATGTCATATTAACCTGTTCTTTTTCTGTCTCTTCATATAGAAGTTATATGAGTATTTCTTCTGAAGAACCAAAGCTGAAATTTAATGAGAATTTCTACAATTAATGGAATTCCTTTCATGCTATAAAGGAGCATCCCCTCCTCCAGTTTTCTAAAGAGCTCTTGACCATCATTTTGAAAAGATTTATTAAAAATAACTAAAGACAACAGATGATAGCTTTTCTAATAATTTTCATCAATAGAAAAAAGGAAATACTTCTCATTCTTCAATACTTTCAAATGGCTTTTTCCAGTGTGCTCCTTCTTAGCAAATCAATATTTTTCTGCATTCTTTAAAAGACAAGAGCATTTGGCTATAAAAGAAATGGGCTGACTAAGCATGATTTTTTTGGTCTTAAAAGCTTCACATGTAAAATTGGCAAAAAAAAAAATTTTACCTTTTATAATATAATACTTGAAAAATAAGTACCTCTTTGCTCTACAAGTAGAATGAATGGGGAAGAGTTTAAACCTGTTTGTTTAAATATTATTGCAAAGAACTCTATTTGTAGAGGCAAATTATAGGCAGATTACCAGGTTCTTATAAATACAACTTGTACATGGACATTCTGCAAACTAAGCTGTCACATTTTTCTTGCAACTCCTTTTGCAAAAGTATACTAAAATGTTTTAAAATATGGAAAAAAAATTATTTTTTCAGAGCAAGAAAATAATTTACTGTCCTCTTAATGTATTTATAAAGTTTTTCCATATGAACTAATCAAATAAGTTAGAACAATGTGACAACATTACAAATTTAATTTGTTAGATGCATTCCTTCTAATGTTACATGAGAGAATGTTACTGATGATTCAGGGCTCTTTCTGAAGTCTGTGTGTTGCTGCTGTCCCCAGTGATGGTGGACTTATCTTTGCCTTACCTGATCACGAATTATGTTGGGGAAAATAAAGATTTAATATTTCTTTAAATAAAAAAGAATTTGGTTTTGCTCGTTTAAGAGCAATGAAAAACATGATAGAATGTTGACTGTGTTTGGCACACAGGACACGGCCCTTGATGGAAGTCCTTGTTCTGCGTGGCACCTGTCAGCTTTCACCTTTCATTCTTATTCTTCACTTTTGCTGCTGAGCCTGGCTGTATAAACTTGCACTTTCATTTGCTAATATAAATTCAATTTTATTTTACCATATTAGAGACTACTAATTATTAAATGTAGAAGAAGAGGGCGTACATGTTTTTACGTGGAGTGTTAAAAGTAAATTTATACCACTGTAATGTGCAGGTTTTATTAAAAGAGAAATTGGTTAAACTGCTAGGTTGAATGAGACTTTATCTATTGGACTTTTTTTTTTAATCCAAGCATATGGTCTTTAGTAACAGCTTGTAATTTGTTAAAACGTTCATTTGGGGGTTTTCCCTATTTTCAGTTGTCCATGTACACAGTCATTATATTAAAAAAGAAATCTGTTCAACAAAGTTGTTTTATTTGTTTAAATCAACGTAGCATGAAACACCAAATAAAATGTTGACATAGTTTTACTTTTAGGTTTCTCATGTTATAACTTAACTCAGATTGATTCTTGAGTCTTCAAATTGTCCTTCATTTAATTCAGTGACATTTTCCGAGCCTCCTGTCGATTTAGCATATAGGATAGCTTTATTTAAAATTTAGAGCAGCAGGTCTATTTTGGCTGTTTTTCTTTTTCATTTATGTTTTCAAACTTTGGCAATTATTAGCAAACTGAAAGCCTTCTAAGTAATCAAGTTTTCACTAGAAGTAGTATAAAATTCTTAATTATATTGTGTTAAGAGCAGCGCTGCCAGAGAATGACCCTGACCTTTACAATGGCTGGATTGCTTTTTGGCCAGCACTGGGAAAATCTATATTGACTGGCAGACCTTAAAGAAGTCATCAATATTCACGCTACATTAAGTGGAGGCGCTCAGGAATCAAATATGCCCCTCAGCATGAAATGAGAGTGAATGGGCTTTTACTTTCCTTTCTACACCATTGCAAACTATCTAGGCCAATTCAGTCACCAATCAAAGGGCCATTTGGTGGTACCTCTAGCTATTACAGGAAGATAAGGCTGTAAGTGTCCTTCCTCCTACATAACCTTACCACCTCCTGATGTATTACAATAAAAGCAAATCTAAAACAGTTATCTTACATGACAAGTTTATTAGCAAGCAGGGTTTCTGGAAAGCTTGGGAAAGTTCCTTCTCTGCTCTTAAGTAACCCCACAAACACCTTGACTAAAAGGTTTACAGTGAAGCAGAAGCAATGATATTCTGAAAGCAGAATTAAGAAACCTAATTGCCTGGTTGGATCAGGCAACAATCATAAATGTGTGTGGAGTCCTGGAGGGGGAAGGTACAGAAGCAAAGAGATCTCTAGTCCTGGGGAAATATCAAAAGTCATTATTTTGCAGGATCTGTCAGATTCTTACACTTCATTGCATGCATTTTGCCTCTAAAAGTGTAGACGACCACCTACTTTTCAGGCTGCATTCACCGATGAAAAATTACTATAATATCCCTTATGCTGATGAAGACTCTGGCATATATTTAGATAAGTGTTTAAAGCATCTGCCTAGCCACCTGGTTGGGGTGCTTCAAATAGTATGTAACTTACCCTCAGAACAAGATTGAAGTTAAATTATACAGCACACATATATTACACAGTTTATATTTAAAGCATTTTAAAGTAAATTACTGCATAATAAGTAACAGTCAACAATAAATTCTTCCATCTTTTGCATTACTTTTTTTTAAACTTGATTGAAATGGACTATTGGCCTACATCCAATGTTAAATGTTCTGTGCATTGAGCATTTAAAGGCATGGTGGGGCTGGGTTCAGTGACTTACACTGCAATCCAAGCACTTTGGGAGGCCAAGGCAGGAGGATCGCTTAAGGCCAGCAGTTCAAGACCAGCTTGAGCAACATAGCAAGACCCCCTGTCTCTACTGCCAAAAAAGAAAAAAAAAAAAACATGATGGAATAGCTATTGGATCAGGTTACAGAAAGCAATTTTTAAAAATAAGCTAACATCTAAGAAACATCATTTTGCCTTTACTCCCTGCCCCAAAATCCTGTTTTTACTCAGTAAACACCTAAGCCCACTCAAAAAATGTTCTGGATTGTCATTTTCTCACATCCTTTAGCACCTCCTTAGTTTTGGGGTGGAGATCTAAAGGCCTTGCAAGAAGTGGGAGAGAAAAGGACCAGCATGTGAACAGAAGGGCCAGTTTTTGTTTGTTTGTTTGTTTGTTTGTTTTTTAAGACAGAGTCTTGTTCTGTTGCCATTATGGAGTGCAGTGGTGCGATCTTGGCTCACTGCAACCTTTGTCTCCCAGGTTCAAGCGATTCCCCTGCCTCAGCCCCCCAAGTAGCTGGGACTACAGGCACGCACCACCACACCCAGCTAGTTTTTTGTATCTTTTAGTAGAGACAGGGTTTCACCATGTTGGCCAGGATGGTCTCGATCTCCTGACCTCGTGATCGGCCTGCCTCACCTCCCAAAGTGCTAGGATTACATGTGTGAGCCACTGCGCCCGGCCTAGAAGGGACAATTTTATTATAAATATTTTGTTAGTAATTAGTTCCTTGGTGACTCTCAATTGAGTTATGTTAGGTTGATTAAAATTTTAGAGATAAAAAGTAATTTTATAACCTAAAAATACAAAAATTGGGCATTGTGGTGCGTGCCTGTAATCCCATAGCTGCTCTGGAGGCTGAGGCACGAGAATCTCTTGAACCCGGGAGGTGGAGGCTGCAGTGAGCCGAGATTGTGCCACTGCACTCCACAGAGCGAGACTTTCTCAAGAAAAAAAAAAAAAAACTAATGCAAAGATTTATAAAGTTCAAAAGAAGTTTTACAATTCTGTTTGAAAATATACACAGGTCAGATGTCATGGCTTATGCCTCTAATCCCAAAACTTTGGGAGTCCAAGGTGGGAGGATCGCTTGAGCCTAGTAGTTTGAGACCAGCCTGGGTAACATACAGAGACCCTGTCTCTACAAAAATTAGAAAATGAGCCAGGCATGATCGCGCGTGTCTGTGGGGCTCAGTCACTTGAGAAGCTAAGGTGAGAGGATCACTTGAGCACAGAAGGTTGAGGTTGCAGTGAGCTGTGATTGCGCCACTGCACTTCAGCCTGGGTGACAGAGCCAGGCCCTGTCTAAGCAAACAAACAAAAAACTGAAAATTAAAGAATACATTTAAAAAAAGGACTGACAATCACTTTTGAATTATTGGATCTCTAAATACCTTGTGGAAGAGTAAAAAGAGAGGGTCAGAAGGCAAGGTGCTAATGCTGGAAGCAATAGAAAAATGAAGAGCCAGCATCTGGAGTTACACTTAGATGGTTAAATATGAGGTTTGCCAGTGATTAACCATGGGAAGCTTGGTAAATGACTTGTATTCTCCATATCTGGATATTTTCATTGCTAAGTGGGAGAATAATACTCATCTCATGGGGTTTTCTTAATTATCAAGGTTGAATAAAATGAGTATAAAGTTTCTCAGTAATTTTTCAATAAATATTAAAACTTTTGTATTTAAGCCCGGGCATGGTCGCTCACACCTGTAATCCCAGGACTTTGGGAAGCCAAGGCAGGCGGATCACCTGAGGTCAGGAGCTCAAGACCAACCTGGTCAACATGGTGAAACCTCATCTCTACTAAAAATATAAAACTTAGCTGGGCATGGTGGTACACATGTATAGTCCCAGCTACTTGGGAGGCTGAGGCATGAGAATCACTTGAACCTGGGAGGCAGAGGTTGCAGTGAGCCAAGATCGCATTACTTCATGCCAGCCTGGGTGACGAGCAAAACTCCATCTCAAAGAAGAGTATTTTGTGTTTAATTTGAGATACTTGTGGAAGACAAGGCCTCTGAGAGGCCAAAGAGTGCCTGGAATCTGCCCCTGTAAGTGGGATCGTCACTCTAATAGTGGCCTTGAATGTCAATAGTTTTTTCTTTTTAAGTAAGATGCCCATTCTAGGTAGTAGTATACTAAACAAGCTAAATGGATATGAACTGTTTTCTTCAGGACAGTATTGCAAGTTTAGAATTTGTAATCATTGAGTTGCTACCATATCACTATTTAATTTCACAATCACTTTCCTTTCCATCTCTCCCAAAATGTTTTCTTTCCCAAAAGAATTTTCATTATTTTTATTTTCACTTATTTGGAGGCTTTTTTGACATCCTTTGACACAATTAATTACCTTGTTGGCTGCAAATACAGGGATGGTTAACTGCTTTTCCAGAAGTTAGTTGACACTGGCCAGCCTCCAGGAGCTGCTACAGAAAGCTGGAGCAGTGAGAAGTTTCTAAAGCAGTTTCCAGGAGGACCAGGAGGCGCATCTTGTTCCAGCTGTGTGTAATGACTCCTCCTCTGTAAGTGAAGCTGCCTTACCAAAAGGTAGTATCAGAAGAAGAGATGGGGCCGGGCACGGTAGCTCACACCTGTAATCCCAACGCTTTAGGAGGCCAAGGTGGGTGGATCACTTAAGGTCAATACCAGCCTGGCCAACATGGTGAAACCACATTTCTACTAAAAATACAAAACTTAGCAGGGCATGGTGGCGCACATTTGTAATCCCAGCTACTCTGGATGCGTAGGCAGGAGAATCGCTTGAACCTGAGAGGTAGAGGTTGCAGTAAACTGAGATTGTGCCACTGCACTCCAGCCTTGGCGACAGAGCAAGGCCCTGTCTCAAATAATAATAATATGTATGTGTATACATATATATGTGTGTGTGTGTATGTATATATATATATATATATATATATATATGGCAGGAATTTGGAGGCCCTTGTTTGATGGGAGGGTCAGGAAGGGCATCTTTCAGTGTTTCTCCTAGTTTCAGAGTCATCTTTCCCCCTCAGCATGATTGGCAAGGATTTGCCTCACTCTGAGCCGCACCTGCCCTACACTGTCATTCATGCCATCAACTGACATGACCTCTGGCTGGTGGAATATCAGTGTCCCAGGCTTTTGGGTTTGGGGAGGGTTGGAAAGGCAAGTGGGGACCCAACATCAATGACTGGTATCATTTTGCCATGGTAGGAGCAGTAGAAATAAAATGACACTCAAGGGCATTTGGTAACCTGTTCCCCCAGGCTGTACATTCCACATTGACATATCTGAGGGCTCTTGTCAAAAGCCAGCCCTGCCCAATTAAGTGGTGGCCAGAAGTGCCAGGGAATTAACTCCTGTGAAGCAGCTTTCAACCAGTGACAGAGTCTGTAAATATGCCCCCCGCTCCTGCCTGGGGTGTGCTAACTCTTACATGTATATTTACAGTCTTGCCCAGAGCTTCTTCACCAGATCAAGCTTCTGTCCGTCACAATGGTAGCTGGCTTTGTAACACTTAATTTTTTGGCTACATTTCCTTACTGAGGTTCCCTTTGCCTCCCAGATAAGCTGCTTTACTCACATCCTCATCATAAGGTCAGCCTCCTGGGAAACCTGAACTGAGGACTATCAGGATAATTTCATAAAACAAGTAGTATTTTATCTCTTAAA